ACGTTCCTACAATATATTTAGTAGTAGCTTATCAGTGGTGACTGTCAGTTAATGTACATATGGCAGAAATGTACGGAAAAATCAATTAAAGACGTAATCAAACAGACGATGAACACTATTAACAGCAATTATTATATGATGCAATCAAACTTATAGCAAAATTTGGTAGTTCTGTATGTTGTTTCAGGGTTGGCATCAATACAGAAGAAAAGATCTGTCACGACTTCCACTTTGTCGTAACTTTAAATAGCTTGAAATCGTTCCATGTGTCTGTGATTGTTCTAAAATATTTTTTTTTTCGATCAGATGGCTAGAAATGTTACAGAATAACTTCTCAAAAAATCCATTAGGCCCATAGCAAGTCCTTACGTACCATGTTGCAAAGCAAAATTTGCATTTGAGGTATGACTGTAACTCAGAGATGGGCACTCGAGTTAGTGACTCGGACTCGAGTCGCATTTTTATAGACTTCAGACTTGACTTCAGACTCGACCTGAAATGACTCCAGACTTGACTCGACTCGAGGAAAAGGACTCGTGAATATTTTAAAAGCAACTCGAGTTACTTATATAACTGATATATTCAAAAGGAAGACCGCATCCGCACCCCGGCATCCTTCCGGACGGTGAGCCTCAACAGCAGCACCATTTTAAGTGAGCAGCGAGTCAAAACAGCGGAGCGGATCGGATCAAATAACAAGTGCTCAGGGTTGTTTATGGTAAATATATTTCAGCGCTATATCCTCTAGTATTTTTTATCTAAAGCCAAACTCACTTTATTCAAACCCTTTCAGCTCCTTGCGCTTTCTCTCTCTCTCCGGACACGCGCCGGTGTTCTGACGATTTGTGCTACCCGCTCAGATTATGCTACCTCTCATTAAAAAGATAGGTAGCACAAAACGATAGTGAAAAATGCTACCTACCAGATTGTGCTACCAGCATCTTATTCATGTGGTTTGAGGCTTTTTTTAATGTCCATACCTACCCGTCCATACCTACCCTTACCCTTAAAACAATGCAAATATATTTTTGGTAGCACAATCTGATAGGTAGCATGTTTCGTTGGTACACTGGCGCTAAGTTTAAGAGCTGCGATGACGTGGTTATTTTAACAACAACAGAAACACGGTGAGCACCAAAATTATAGATTACTTTCACTAAAACACAACAGAAAACAACAATGCTGCAAATGTAGTTATTTTTCTTACTATCTATTTATCTATCTATAACCTGTTCAAACCAGATGTGACAAGACGATTCTGATCCTATATTACGGTGTGACCATCGACCCCAAGGAGTTAATCTGTAGGCTAAGAACATTTCAAAAGAATCATGTAATTATAATTGGGAAAATTGTTGTTAGATGGCTAGGATAGAACTTAAACTTTGAAATTGCTAGTTAACTTTATTTTCTGCTGAAGTTGAGAACGTTTTGATTATTGTAGCTGCATTGTTTTTAGTAGATACTGCTTTTAAGTAAAATATTAAAATAGTATAGATTTCAGGAGGAAAACCCTGAACAGAAACGTTTTTTTTTTTCTGTCACATGGCCTTGCATTTATCTAAATGTAAAAATACAATACATGTAAAAAATGTGTTTTGTTTTGTTTTTTGTCCGGACCTTTGCTTGGAAGAAAATATAGAGGCTGCACCTCTTGGAACTTTAATTGAATACCCCTAACTTATATCATAAAGAAATACTTTATTTGTATGATTTTGTAATATCTGTGTCACATATTTCCTTATGTGTCATGGTAGATCAGACTCTTATTATAGAATTTGATTACAGAAAAAATGAACTTTGAACATGGTAATAGATTAAAACATAAGTAACAGGCTGGATGTAAAATAACCTTACATGTTAGCACCTCTTTTTTACAAGGCAGATCATAGATCATATATTTTGTCTATAGCCATATATATAAAACAGCTTTGTAAATATGAAGATTTCAATATGCGAGGATTCTGAATGGGATTTTTTTTAGCGAGCCATTATTAAATGACTTGAGACTTGACTCGGTCATGAGACCAAAGACTCGAGACAAACTCCAGTGATAAAGACTTCAGACTTGACTTGGACTCCAGTTTAAAGACTTCGGACTTGACTCGGACTCCAAGTTAAAGACTTGTGAACATCTCTGCTGTAACTTATGTAGGACCGAACATGATAGTCTCTTTGAGTAATGCTAACCAGAACTTAGTTTTGCTATAAATGCTGTAAATCATTATTCTAAAATCCCATTCGAAATTCCCCAAGAAAACATGTCTCTTTCCCAGATTTCACAGCTGTATTGAACAGATGAAGCAGCAGCTTTGGAGAACATTGAATTATGTTCAAATGTCATCAAACTGCAAAAATGTAATACTTCTACACAACCACCCAGTATGAAATTGCTGTTTTAAATATGTCTCTTCTGAGATCGTAGACCTGTCTGATGGCACAGAAACTCTATAATTTGCAGGTCAAATAAATCAAAGAGGCGTTCACACATTCTGAAATCCTATAAATGCTCCCTTCCAGACATCCACAACAAACATTAACGTGTCGGCGACAGGCCGTGTTTTTGTGAAAATGAGCCTAACTGCTTTCACAACATCCTTGTTTATTCTCTGTCGACCTGTCCGGCCTCTGAATCACTCAGAGTAATAAAAGTCGTGACCACAGACCATTTCTGCTGAACTCATGAGCCAGTGCACGTAATGATAGACACAAAGGGATTAAAAACATTGCGAGATGACTGTGTTCAATTCATTAACCACTGGAACGCCCTCGCTGCGGTGGATGAGGTTAGGACCAGTTGCAGGAAAGAATAAACGGCATTTAAATCAAAAGAAACAGACTATTATCTTGCTATCAGTGGCGAACTGCGAATCTGTGGGGCCCCGCCCCTTTTCGCATACTTTGAGACATTCTCCACCCACAAGTAGCAACATTAAAGTGATAGTTCACCTAAAAATTAAAATTTTGTTATCATTTACTCTCCCTCGTCATTCCAAACCTGTATGACTTACTGTGGAACACAAAAGAAGATATTTTATAAGATGTTTTCACGTTTTTGTTCATACAATGACAAAACGACTTTGGATCCCATTAACTTTTATTGCATGGAAAAAAAAGAGTCACATTTTTCAAAATATCTTTTGTATTTGGACATTGTATTTTGGTCCTTTCATCAATATTTTTGCATAAAGTGTCAGTTTACCCAAAAATGACAATTCTGTCATAATTTTCCATTCCAAACTTTTGAGAAATTATACAATAATACAATGGAAATTAATGGTCACCAAAACTATTTGGTTACCAACATTTCTCAAAATATCGTCATTTGTGTACTGCAGAATGAAGAAATTTGAAAAGAAACAGGTTTGGAATGACATGAGGGTGAATAAAGGATGATAGAATGTCATTTTTGGGTGAACTGCCTCTTTAATGTCGCCTCTGTGCCAGTTTTTGCAAAGACGTACATTTCCACATTTGCTGGAACTACTTCAAATTTTGGAGTTAATTGACAGATTGACCGGTTTAACAGGTATGGCTCTGTAAAATGAATGTTTGTGCAGTAATTTGCGAAAGAAAATAAGCTTACAAAAAACATATGCTTGCACAGCCTTTTCCTAGCCATGTAAAGATTCCAGTGTAACTGCTTCTGGAGTCATTTCATTTTTAGCTCTGTTATACATATATCACTTACAAAAAAGTACTGAGGTTTTTGGACATATACCATTCTAAATATAATAGTATATGAATATAGTAATGTATTGTGGTACTATGGTATATACAGTATCAATTACCACCTGATTTCATCACTGTATCATAAGACCACCAAAGTACTTTTTGTAAGTGATAGCCATGCATCAATCCAGATTTTAGAACATGCCAAATGTTATGCATAACATTACTATTGGAATTGTCTGTGTCTTGTTCCTGGGCAATGGGACGTGTAAAATCATGCTTATTTACAGAGGGAGAGTATTAAAACTGTTTTTGTTCAAAACCTCACTGAACCAAACTTTGCCAATTTTCTTGTCAGACATGCTTCAATGGCTTTTGTCAGGAGCAAATTTTGGCCTGTTCCCCTCTGCTGTCATCCAATGCATAGTGCTCTGTTTGTAATCCAAAACAGGAAAACTTTTGGAAAACTACCGGTGACACATAATGGATTTTTAGAGAAGGTTCTCAATGGGCCATTATAAAAGTGAGTTGTAGCTTTCTTAGCATGAGGCCGGATGGAGAAAACATGTAAGTAATGTTCACAATGGCTCTGGTCCAAAACTGTATGAGCGACCTAAATATGGTGCCTTCTAAGGCAGCATCCTAAATAAACATGTAAGCTTGTTCGTGCCTTATGTATTATGTATATATGCGCTATCCATTCAACTCAGAAGTCAGATAAGTCAAGATATCAATAATACAGTAGCTGCGTTTCCATTACCCTTCAAATTGCGCAAATTGAAATTGTGAATTGAAAATATGCCCAATGGAAACGTGAATTTTGCAAAAACTCCCATTTATTGCAAAAAAAAAGATTGAGGTGGTTTTTCAGGCAATTCAAAAAAGGAATATTTCGCAAAATTGCAATGGAAACTGGGTTTTTTTTGCATTTACAGGTCACCTGGTGTACGTAAAAGTCACATGATCATTATTTAATGTATTATGACCTCCAAGAAACACCTCATACTGGCTGCTCTCAAGTATAAGGGGCTTTCCTTGCCATTAATGCTTGGATAACCCCTTATTTACACTGCACACATCTGCAGCGCTATTTATCGACATTTGTAAAATACAAACAGACAAACAGAAGCGCTAATAAACAATATATTACAACTGTTTCACTTATGTTGATGTGCTCAGCAGCCATTTTGGATTCTGAAGTTGTTGCTGTTCGGAGTAACTTATGTAACCGGAATGACCTTGCTATGCCTTTAAGGGGTAGGTGACGCGATAGGACAGGTGACGTTTAAAGTCTCGCGGGCTTCAATGAAATAACGTTTGTTCTCGTTCTCCGCTCGATGAACGAGTGTGTGTGTGGTTTGCTCTCCTGTATTGGCGCGTTGGAAGAACTGCTCGTGTGTGTGATTGCTGCTCTCGACAATTTAGCGTGAGTAAATATGCTTTTATGCATAGGAGTTGAATGTAATGATGTTAGTATAATATGCCCGCTAATGTGTTTTAGGATTATTTCCGTGCTGATGACCTGTTGATCCGAAAACGCGGTGTGCGTGCAACTCCGCGGGGTTTCAGCTACCTAATGTGAGTGCATGGCCAAGTTCATTGATAAGTGAAATTGATATGAAATGCGGTGCCATAAATTTAGGATGTGTTATTTTAGGTTCGCTCTTGTGTTCATACTCGGCTGAGTTGCGAGTGTCCATTTGTACAGAATATACTGCATTGCAACCCACTTCTGCCTTTAGTGAGACTGTTACATCCAGTCATCAAAGTGAGTCATAGCGCAATGTTGGAAGCTACGTGAGTATTTTGTTTGTCTTAAGGTGAAATATGGGGGTTTTATGTGCAATAAAAATGTCAATTGGTTTTAATTACAGGTTTTAAATCCTCTCGGATTTATCGGCCACCGTTTCTTTCCCACTAAAATTTGAGATTTATTTATTAGTTGTGGTGTTTGCTTTTATATTTAGTTTATTGGGTTTTCATGGTACAACTTTTGTGATTTTATGATATTCATTTTGTTGTGAATTTTGTTTTATTAGCGCTATTTATCGACATTTGTAAAATACAAACAGACAAACAGAAGCGCTAATAAACAATATATTACAACTGTTTCACTTATGTTGATGTGCTCAGCAGCCATTTTGGATTCTGAAGTTGTTGCTGTTCGGAGTAACTTATGTAACCGGAATGACCTTGCTATGCCTTTAAGGGGTAGGTGACGCGATAGGACAGGTGACGTTTAAAGTCTCGCGGGCTTCAATGAAATAACGTTTGTTCTCGTTCTCCGCTCGATGAACGAGTGTGTGTGTGGTTTGCTCTCCTGTATTGGCGCGTTGGAAGAACTGCTCGTGTGTGTGATTGCTGCTCTCGACAATTTAGCGTGAGTAAATATGCTTTTATGCATAGGAGTTGAATTTAATGATGTTAGTATAATATGCCCGCTAATGTGTTTTTTAATTTAAGTTGGTTTACTTTATTTCAGTTTTGTATTTATATCCCTTTTTTGGAACAACTGTCAACCCGGTTGTTATTTTAATAACATTATCTATGGAAAAGGATTATATCTGTCATTCTAATAAAGTATTAACCTTTTGTACTCTGGCTTCTAGTTCATTTATTTGAACTACCTGTGTTAAATATATCATTGTTAGGGTCCCTTACCCTAGAAAGTGGGGGTGGCATAGTAAATTTGGCCGACATTCCTAACAGCCATATATTTGAGGTGACACTTACTACTAGTAACTCGGAATGTCCGACTTCTGAGTACAAACGGAACACACATTATTGCCTGCCCACTTTTTTAGCGGCACTGTTTTAGGTATTTAAATAGTTTTTCCATTCATTTTTCCAATAGCGATTTTTAAAAGTCTTTATAAGCGTTATAAGCCGTGAACCAAGCCAACCATCTGAGCGGTTAATCACAACAGTACAAATTTATATTTGAAGCAAAAAAAATTAGAAAATTGGACAAAAAAAACAAGGTTCTTAACAGCTTGAATGAGGCAAAGAACTACAATCTCATGAGCCATTGCGAATGACATAATCGAATTAAAAATGAAGAAATATAAAAATAAGCTGCTGATAGTGTATATATAGAAACAATACATTTTAAGTTTATTGCAAAATATGGATAAATAATTTCAAATATTTAAATGTTTTGAGAGTGTGTGGGGAGACCAATTGCGTTGGTCAAATCATTTGCGGTGCTTCACAGGAGTGGGCAGGGCTTAGTGCTCCTATTGGTGCGATTTGCTCGCTGCAGCTTTCTGATTGGTGGAATTTGGGTAATGTAGTTTCTCACCAGGGATTCCGTCTTTAAAGGTTTATAAGTTCATGTTGCTAAGCTAACAAACATGACATTCTAATAAGCACGATTCCTCTTTCAATTCCAGTTAACAAATTTTTAATAAATATTTTGTGCTATTACATAAATTAAATAAATCAATAATGAACATTTAGCTTTGTCCACCATCTTGGCTGGAGTTTTTCACTGAGCTCAGCAAAGTGCTTCCTTCAAATGTGGCCAAAAAAAGGTATCTTAGAAGTTAGCTGTCACGCTTTGCTACTGTGAGGAGCACGGAACGAGGAGTTAACTTCAAACACAGAGACTTTAATAATACTCGAGGAACCAGGAAATCACATGTAGCGGGGAAAGACGACATTCAAAACTGGACAGAGAACTCAAAACAGGAAACACTGTAAATACGCAGGACTAGAGGAGGGACAAAATGAGGAACACCTGAAATCAATAAACATAATAAAACATGAGGGAAAACTGGGTCATGGAGCACGTGGGGGAGGAGACAACAAGACAGGAACAGAGTCTGACATTACTCCCCCCTCCCGGAAGGCGCGTCCACGAGCCTCATAACAACCAACTGGAAGGGGGGGTAGGCATTCTGGAGGCCTCTCAGGACAGGCTTCCAGGGACGGACGGCCTCCAGGGTGGTACCCGTTCCAGGGCCCATGGCGGATCAGGCAGCTCGGGGAGCCATGGCGGATCAGGCAGTTCGGGGCGCCATGGTGGAGCAGGCAGACTAGGAAGCCATGGCGGTGTAGGCAGTTCAGGAGGCCATGGTGGAGCAGACAGTTCAGGAGGCCATGACGGAACAGGGAGCTCGGGGAGCTCTGTGCTAGACTCGGGGACTGGATCCCTCTCTGGGCTAAACTCGGGAATGGCCGGCGGACTTGACTGAGGAACGGCCAGTGGGCTTGAGAATGCCGTGGCCGGCGGACTTGACTTCGGAGCGGCTGGCGGGCTTGACTGAGGAACGGCCGGCGGACTTAACGGTGGGCTGGTTCTGGCTCGGGGCCGGATGCTCTCCAGACACCGGAGGATCAATAACTTCAGATTAATTAATATTATTTGACACCTATTTTAAATTATTATTTATTTGTCAGTGTTATAAATTATAAATTATAAGCATAAAATAATCTTATTTTAGCTAATAGCTTTGAATGATGCACAAGCCTGAAGGTTAAATCTATATCTCAGAGCACTGCTTGGGCAATATTTTAGTTCCTCTGATTTGCGTGCTAAGGAAATAATTCATGGCAAATATGCATTCTCTTTAACTTTTATTTAATTGACAAAATACAAAGAAAAGATTTCCAAAGTTTTCACTGACCAACGAAAATGTATTTTGTAAATATGAACAAATTTCGATTTTGATGGCTGCAACACACTCCAAAAAATTGGGACAGAGGCAAAGTTGGGACAGAGGCATGTTTAACACTGTGTCACATCAACTTTCTTTTTAATTACGATGTTTAATTTTTTAGGAATTGAGGATATGAATTGTTAAAGTTCTGCAAGCAAAAGTTTTGTCCAATCTTGCTTGATACAAGACGTCAGATGCTCAGCAGTCTGTGATCGTCGTTGTCTGATTCTCCTTTTCATGACTGGTCATACATTTTCAACAGGAGACAGATCTGGACTGCAGGAAGGCAAGTCTAGCATATTCACTCTGAGTATACGAA